TTAGTGCGGTCAACAGCAGGTGTTGAAACAGATGGCATCACATTTAACTTAATTTTAGTGTTTTAGATGACAGAATTTCACTCAAGGTAATAATACACATAATCTCTCAACTTAACCACAGTGAAGGGAGGCTACACCTGAACCAATATTTCCTCAACAAAAATAATGATCACAACCGGGTTAGTGCGGCATTTCCCTCGATGACATGAATTTGAATTTGCCCTTTTTTAATAACCCAACTTAATCTCACACTAATCCAGTGATATTGCCATAACAAGTAACGCAAGTACGACGGCGTATGATGGTGAGAGTTTGATGGGCCTGACGCTGGCGCTGCACTGGTTGGCCCTGGCAACACAACGCCACAGTGCCAGGCTGTCAGCGTGCCAGGCTCAGGGCGCAGCTGCCAGGCCAAACCAGCAGGCGCTAATTCAGACAGCCACAGGATCCCCCCCCCCCCCCCCCCTGCACCCCTTCTTCTTTCAGTCTCTCCCTGTGGTTACAACTACACACACACACACACACAGGGTTTAATTATGACAAACCTGCCAACAGCTAATCTTCCATCTTTTTCTATCAAAGACATGAGTAGCTGAGGGGGTTGCTAATATTCTAATGACGAATTACCAGAAATACTGGTTTCCTTTGACCGGTCTCCCTTTGACTGGCCTCTCTCCATCGAGCAAAGCCTGAAAATCTTTCAAAAGCCAGCGATGCAGGGAGATCTGGAGAACACTTTTTCCTTTTGATTCCCCCTGATCGCAGCTCCATCATGAATGTGGCCAAGCTATCACATCGACAATGATTTTAATCCCCCACGTATTTGACCAAAACAAGTCAAAAGTAGAATTAGCTCAATGGGGGTCTTGCATTATTGATTTGCGTGCTTGCTACTGACACATGTCTGCGTGTGTTGCACAAATCACTAACATTCCATACGTTTTGTCATTATCTTCTGTGACTGAGCGTTCAGCTGCTCCTCTCATGTAAGTTTCTGTGGTTAAATCCTGCTGTGTCTGCAGCCTCTCTACATGAGCTTAGCTGGAGGATCTCTGTTACATGCCACCCAATCTCCTTACTTCCTCCTCCCAGGGAGGATTGTCTAGTTTAATTGCACACTAGTGCAGTGCCCGTTCTAAGCAGTCTGTTGGAATGATCTGTTTGTTTGGCCTGCAGTAACTGAAACTGTAAAAGTGACCTGCAGTAACTGAGTGAAGACCAGCTGCAGGACTCAGTCACCCCAAGAATGTTGAAGCTCAGTACGCAGAACACCGAAGAATCAGTTGTTGCTGTTGTCCTGAACACACCACTGCTGCAGAGCGTTGGTCACCTGTTAATTCTAACCAAATCACACAAAATTCAATACTGCACTCTCTTGGGCCCTCAACAATACACATGCCAAGTGTTTTCAAGATATGTAAGCCAGATAGAGATTAGGAATTATTAGATATAAGATATCACATAAAAACGGTCTAATATAGTACAGCTGAAGGCCCAAATTCCAAACACAACTCAAGCCCAGTCTCATCTGCTCCCTCACCTGTCACTCATCCTCTATCTGAGCTCGTCTGTCCCAGCTGAAGGTCACAATATGGCTGATTCCTTTGGAGAGGCCCCAAAGGTCCTGAGGCTCCAAGCTGCCTGAGTAAACACGGCACAGCAGTTCATAAAGATGCATATTGTGTGCCTGCATCTGCGTGTGTTTGAATGGATGCGTGCATATTCAGTGGGTCTTCCTGTACTGGGTTTCCTGACTGCAGGGATACGTACATACCATTAGTAAGACCGGCTGAAATATTACTGCTGTGTTTTGTTCTACTTTTTTTTTTGCTGTAATTGAGAGGACCATCTGCACAGGTCGGCGTTTCTCACGTGAAACATTCCTCCTCCCACAGAATATGACCAGGGGACGGAGAAAGAAGGCCGTCTGGTATTGTGAGAGAAAGAAAGGTGGAGGTGCTGCTGGTGGCAGTGGTTTGAGAGGAGTTGTGTAGGATTCAATAGTTTCTTTCTCTCAACAGATGGAAGATTGGCTGCTGGGATATAGTTCAGTGTCACAGTGGAACCTGATATCTGATTATACTCCTCCCTCCCCCCAAAACACAAAGGGAGTACATGCGGTTACATGAATAATGAAAATGAGATTATTTTGTTGACATGCTTCTAATTTGTTGTTGTGCCACAGTAGCGAACTGCTGACATGCCCTGTCAGTCTGTCTCTTTGTACCTCTGCACTGCTCAGGTGCAAACAACAGATCGAGTTCTTCCAACAAGCCAATCAAAGACGACACTTCTGACCAATTCTGCCACCTATGGCTGAACGCAGCTCCCGCGTGAAAGAACTGGCTGTTAAAAAATGTCTACGTGATCACAAGCACATATTTAAAAAGCTCACAAACAATCTGATTACTGACGGCTCAGTGGTCCGAGCTCAGTGATCAACTTTTCCCCTTCCTTCAGCATTAGCGGAGAAATGCACCGTGATCTGATCGAGCACTTAGTCAGCAAACTCAGCAATGAATTTTAATGATGTGCTTAGAAGTGCAAACCAACATGACAATGCTAACAAGGGGTCATTTAGAGGGAGTGGGGGGTTTATTTTGTAAAAGTATCCCTCCCTCCTTAATAATTAACAACAGCCTATTAATTATGAACAAATCTGTAGCCTAACACTCATCAAGAGGAGGAAGGGTTGCCTAGGAGCACCGGCCTCTTCTCAACATCTTGTCACTTTGCTGTTGATGGTAACTGGAGCTTCTGCAGTAACACAGTAATATGGCGAGAAGTAAATAAAATGGCGGGGTAGAGGGGCGGGGAAAATACCTGGGGGCCAGTGGCTTCAGTGATCAACACTGACGCACGCCCATATCACCTAAAACTCTTGAATCTGGTTGTCTTTCCAAGTTATAACAATATTATTAATCTTCTTCATGTGTCGAACATGAAGAAGTTTGAAATTTGTTTTATCCTGAGACATTTGTATTCTTTTTGTTAGGTTTCATTTATTCAGTTGTGCATCTGTCGTCAATGCTGCCACTCACTGACTTCTTCCGGACATGTCCCTGCTGTATTCTCACAACGGCTCACTCTGACATTTTACGAGGGGGGCTGGCAGAAAAAGTTTTTGAAATGTCCCAAGCAATTGACTCAGTCATTTGTGTTCTCAAATTCTGCCCCTCTGGAAAATTTCAGGAAAACTAACAGAGGTCAGTGCATGTCTTAAAGCAGCTAATGTGGTTGAATAGTAGTTTAGAAATATAATGTACTTTAATTAAAAAAAAAAAAAAAAAGTTCAGTTTTGTGTAGTTCAAAACTGTTAATAGAAAATGCACGTAAACAAGTGCTAATTCTTGTTGTTGTGCAGCCCATTTCCATTACACCTTGAGCAAACAGCAGGCCTCGTGGTTCCCACTGCTTAGTCAAAACAATAACTGGCTTTATGCAGTTGAGCCTCCATTTTCGGATGCTAAATCAACACAGCTGGACATCCTAAAGTTTGTGTTTATGTCTGTCCGCTACCTTTCCGACTTGGGTCTAAAAATAGGTCGGCAGCATCCTGCTGTGATGCTGAAGGTGCAGTCATCTTTCCTCTCCGAAGGACACAACACTGTCTGAAGTTTGGGAGCAGGGGGGAGAGGGAGCTGGAGGAGGGGGTGGATGGGAGGGAGGGAGGAAGCGGTGACTACCGTGTGACAAGCGCCCTGTTCCTTCCTCCCAGGCCTGAGAAACAGGAAGTGCTGCACATAAGGCATTATTGTGACGGAGAGGAAATGCAAGGTCCTCTAAAATAAGAGCCCAGATCTGGTTGTCAATGACAGGAGCCCGTCCTCCACGGCCCCACAGAGACCTGAAGGCCCCTGACACATCAACCCCCCCCGTCCCTCTCACTGCTTCATTGTTGAGTAAAGAAAATATATAAAGCAAGCTTCCACTTCCATGTGTGACAAACACCTTCGTCAAAATACTTGCAAACTTTGTGCTCTCTCACCGACACCACTAACTTCTGGAGGATTTGAGCTCAGCATCTCAAAGATAACGACAAGTGAATCAGCTTTTAAGATGATGTGTTAAACCCTTTGTTTCATGGTTAAACCCATCCACACACAGATTGAGCAACAAAAGCGTTTCTAAGGGTTAACACAGGCATATGGGTAGGATCCACCCTGCTTGTGTTGAGCAGAAGCTGAGGGGGAGCCGGTTGCTAAGAGAGATGCAAAGCTTTGTGCTGTGCTCCCTCCCAGTTAATTAAAATCCTACTTTATCTGTTTCATGCTTTCAATTAGAAAGCTCTGGAAAGGGCCCAAGCCTCTGCATGTAGATAACCATAGCAATAAGATGTGATTAATAAAAGGGGGGGGGTGCAGTTGCGCTGCAGGTTGCAGCAATGTCCTGCTGTTGTTTTAAACGCAGGCACCAACCTCTGATCAGACTGAAATGGCTGAGCAGTGCCTCCCTGCAAAGTCCACGCAAAGCAGCAAATTACATGGATGAGATCGGCTTTTGTAGGACATGACAGGTGCTGGCCACCTGTGGTCAAGTGCATCTGAACTGTGGCGACGACTGAAACCGTAGAGAGTCTGCATCACTGCTCAGCTGGTGCCAAGTCCAATGTTTTTGTTTTCTTCGTCACCCGTAATCAAAAGAAGTGTCTGCTAGCAAGGTTTTTGCTCAATTAACAGCAGATCCATCAATGGCTGCCTCTGCTTTTCACAATCAATTAACTGCAACACAGAAGCCAAGCTGTACGGGTAATCAATCACGCTGAGCTTAGCACATTATGCTCTAATGGGCATGTGTTGCCGCTTTTGGTTTTAGTTTGTGTTCCACCAGCCAAAGCTATTATTTCTTGACACTGTGATGTACTATCAGAAGACAATCAGTATGAAAAATCATTTTGAGTCCTATCAATATCAAGTTCAAGTTCAATCTATATGCTACTGTTAAGAGTGCAATCAATTACCCTCAATCAATATACAAATGTTTAAGTGAGATGGGTTTACTTAAAGAATAATACAAGTACAATTATAAACAAGGAAGCCTTTTTCACAAACGATAGAAATATATTTTAAGTGAATTGGTATGCAATTTTTACAACAACAAAATCTTTTCTTCTTTCTCCAAACTGAAATTATTTTTCATGAACACCTGATATCAAACCAACTTTTGCAGAACACAGGATATTTACTGCCATCTACTGGTCCCTCTAAGAAAACACAAGGTCTAGAACGTCAAACATTTTTAAAGCAGGTGGATTTGTGACACCTACTTTAACCTGTGAAAGATCTGAACTTCTGACACAGTGAAGGTGAGAAAGTCTGGGGAGTCACTGTGGAAATGTTGCCTTTCATGCCAGAAGTATCCTTAGGGAGGTCAGTAGCACTGGTGCCAGGCTGGGACGTCACCCACTGGGAGGGCGTGAGGCTGGGCCATGAAGGCATCATCTCCATCCTGCCTGGACTTTTGATGTCCCCAGCACTCGCTTTGGGGATCTGGGCTGGTGGCATCTGGAAGAAAAGGCCTCTCCCTATGGCAGGTAAGACATATTGGGCTGACTGCTCTTTTCCAGGGAGCCTTCCTCTACCTATTGTGTTCATCAGTATGTCTGTGCAACCTCTGCCTACACCCACATTCAGACTGATGGAGGGCATTTCTTTCCCAAAATCTGATACTGTGGCTGCGACTGACACTTGTGCTGGCAGGTCAGAAGAGGCATGGACATCAAGAGAGGAAACACTTGGGGGGCGTGTGGGTTGTTGGTAAGAGAGAAGGTCCAGTTGTGCTGTTGATGGTGAATCCACAGTTGCAGGTTCACAGGAGCCTGTCTGTGTCTGACTCACCTCTTCTGGTGCAGGTGGGGTCTGGGATGGAATCTTGGTTTGGTGTTTGAAGCGAGCGAGCAGACCCTGCTCTGTGATGGGGTAGTGGTTCGCAGCCCACTCATGACGCTCCTGATGCATTTGCTGCAGCTGCCTGAGTTCTGTGGGCAACTCCACCACACCCTCCTGTGGATGTCAACGGGTAAACAGGAGGTTTACTCACTCACCTTGATGCATGCGTTACTGTGCAATAGAAAATACATGGTTCTGAACGTCAATTCAGACACTATCAAACGTTGAAATTCGATGAACATGTGTACTTATATTAGCATTAGCAAGTGTTTTCTTGAAATGAATGAAGTAGTTGAAATAAATCTGACTCATCTTGGTGACAATAAACAACACCTTATGAATTTTTGTTTTCCTTATGCGGGCTATATGGTATTTTGCGTGGTAAGGTGTAGGGTGGGGGGCAAAAAATCTAAGAAACTGCCGATTTGTGAATTACCCACCATGCTGACATTCTCCAATCCATCAGGTTCATACTGGCTGCTGTGAAGGTATGAATCCACCAGTGTCATGTAGTCCACCATCAGATTATCCAGCAACACCAGTCTGAGAGGCTGCAGGTGGATCACTGACAGAGCCATCACCTTCAGCAAGGGGACAGGACATGGGCGCTTGGACCACATCTCTCTTTCATCCTGTACAAAACACACAGAACTCTTTTGCTGCTCTGCTTGGAGATTGTCTAAATGTGTTTGTGTATGTGCGATACCTTGGTGAGCTGTGACTTCATCCGAAGGGATAACAGCTGGGAGGACGGTACCTTCAGATGGAGACTCACCACTTCCTGCAGAGTACTGACTCTGTCAGGTAGAAACCCGCCTGTCTCTGAGAAGAAGCACATGACATCTGCCACCTTGACACAGGCAGAGAAAAATAACAAAAATAAAGTGAAGACAAACCATGATCATCGTTATCGTCATGTTGACTTCTGAAAGTGGAGGCTATAGTAATTTGCGTTTACTTGTGTGTCAAAGACGTTGGTCAGCTTAACTCCAAACTGAGCAATCAGACATCCAGCAATGGCTCGGCAGTCGTGCATCACCTGCGCCGGAATCCACATCCACTGTAAATGTGATGGTAATAATCAGTAAACTGTGATTGCATTGATGATCTACAATGCTTACCTTTAATATTTGCTTATTTTCCAGGATCATAGAGAGGCCATTCTTAAAGGCCCGGGCTCCAAGAAGCAGAATATCAAACAAGTATACCTTGTTTTTAGTGGCAATCTGCAGAAATAAAAATGAGCCAAAGTTATATTTTCCAAAGAATGACAGAGGAAATCTCCACAGCGGAAATTAAATGTTTCACAGGATGTCTCACCTGCAGCCAACACAGTCTCCCATTCTGAAGCACCTCGAGGCCATCAGCCCCTACACTGATCACATTCTGCTTCTTGATGTGCATCACCTGAAGGAAGGTAACTCAAGACATCACAGGGTTTCAAAAACAACAGGTAGCAGCATACACATGCCCCCATTATTATTTAACATCCGTGTCAATCCTGAAAACTGCATGTCAAAAGCACTTAAACCAGCTTACAGCGGGCCCAAACTTCTCATGAAACTCATCGATGACTACGAAGTTGATGTACTCCTCCTCTTCCTCATCATCGTGGTCTGCAAGAAAAGGAAAGTCCTCTCAAAAAAGACATGAAGGATTTCTGTCTGTGTTTGAATGGAGATTTAAGGAAATGGATGATTACATACACAAACTCACCCATGATCATTGACTTCCTGTACGGCTGAAACTCCTCCACATTCAAGTGGTCCTCCGGTCTGCACTCATTGATATTTCTGAGCAACACAATGCACGTTACAGTTTGTGGCCCAGTGTGTTGTCACTCTTTATAAACAGTCTATGGTTGTCACCAGCAGCGTCACGTTGTGTGTTGTTTACTTACCCATGGTCCCTGTTTGTTTCATTGTGAAACTCCACTGTAGACATGATGACATGTCAGACATTAAACCTTTGGTGTCATAAACAATCAGCCACATGTGTCTGCACCCTCACACGTCATGACTCAACTCACCATTGAGAATCTCATGCCCAAAGAATATTTTGGAGCCCGGGAATCTGCAGCCATTACTGACACTAACAACTGCAACATATAGATATAGGTTAGCATTGGGCTAACGTTAGCAAAAACAGCGAGATGTTATCGGCCTAAAGTCAACAAAATCATTTTAAGATGACTTGATGTTAGCTCATGTTTAGCAAAATAAAAAGGCTAACAAACAAAATGAGTAAATGTGTCTGACCGTCCGCCAGAACCAGCGTTTTGTTGGAGTTTATTCGCTGGACGACGCCGAGGAAGGACGAAGTCTTCAGGGTCAGTTTGACGCGTTTCCCCTTGAGGATGCTCATGAACTGGATGTCGTCCACGACCATGTTGAAACGATGGGAATCTCAGCTCAGGCTTTTAAAAACACGACGCAGTCGTTCAGCGCTTTCCCCCTCGTTAGCTACAGTGACGACGAGCTTCGCACTTAGCAAGTTAGCTTAGCCACCTGTCAGAGAGAGAATCCACGTGTTGAATGATGCGTTCACACACTCTCCGTTAATTCCAGGGTTTAGTCCCCCTCTGACACGATCGATTAAAACTCAATAAAATGCAACATCTGATGTTATGATACAGATTTATTTTTTGATGTTATTTATTTCTGCTACATAAACATCACATGTTGTGTTAACATACAATGCAAATAATATAATAAATGCAATTAATTTGCAATATGTATATTTGTGTTAAGATGCAACATCATTTAAAATGAATTTGAAAATGTCTGACTTTGGTAAACAGTGTGGATAAATGATGTTTTCATTCATTCATTCTGGAGGTCACATTAGGTTAATGCTTTCACAGTTGTGTTACTAGAAGTCAGATAGTAACAGATACATGTGTTATCCTGTGACACTGAGGACATCAAGCTAAAATTCAACAAATCAAAATAGTAAACACTATAAAGTTTTAAAAGTGAGTCAAACATATTTTGCAACAATAGGTAATGTTCTCAGATTTCCTCCTTCAACATCTACTTTTAATAATTCTGCTCAGTGCAGTGGTGGTGGAGCAGCAACATGAGCTTTTATACTTAATACAGAATCTACTTATTCATTCATTTGATAATTCACAATAACTTAATAAGGCCACTATGTTTCCCATGTGGTCAGGCAATAACAATAATATCCAGCAGGGGGTGATCTGTACTTAAGTTGTTGGTCCCTCGGTCCCATGTCTGAAACTTTCAAAGGAAATATGTATAAATTTAAATACGCTTTACAAATTGTGTCCATTTCCATGTAGGTTTCAGAGCAAACACTATTCAGCTGTTACTACTATAAAACTGGGAATTGTGAATTTGTATCAGATACAAAGGAAAATTTATATTTTGTAGAGTACATGAAAACCTTTTAATTCTCTTCCTATATATTAAAAGCTCACACACAGGGACGGCTGATTCTCTGACACAAAATTAGACCCATAACAGTTCTCTCTGTGTTTTTGTTGCTACCTCATTCAGGTTCCAATTTTGACATTCAGAAAAACGAATTATATCTTTTCAAGGGTTCATCTGAAGAATTAAGATGAAGAAATCCACCCATCCATTATGTATTCCACTGATCCTTTGGGGGTCAGGGTCACATGCACCTACAGACAATTTTACAAACTCCAGAGAGAGAGGCCCTGATCAAGCTTGGATTTCAAGCTTCTCGTTAAGTAGAAACACATCCCCTTTGTCTAAGAGTTCACATTTCAATTTTCTCTTATCAGGATTTTGTTTGTTGTTGAGGCCGTGACTCACTAAAGAGGCAATGGGCACACCTACTATAACACAAACCCCACACAGTAACGTCTGCTACTTCACTTACTCTTTGAAAATTCATTCAAAAGGTGGCCTTTACATAATTCATTTATATAATATTTTTTATTTGAACAGTTAATGTCTGATAGCATTGGCCTCAATATCATGTAAAAAAAATCTGATTCAAATATGTGTTTAGCCACATGGGGGCAGGCTTAAGGCGTAACTGTCTGGTCTGATAACAGCAGAAAAGAGAACGTGCTTGTTATTTTATCAGGAGTAGCTGTGCACCTGCTAACACACATGTTCTCATGCTTACACCTGGCCCGGTGGAAACACACAGATACAAACATCTGCCAAAGGGAGGCTCCTAATCAAAGAGAGGATGCTCTGGGCTGCAGGAGGCGCAGAGATGTCTCAGATCTGATCACCGCCTGAATGCACCTCATCAGCTTTGTCCCATGTGTGATTTCTCCTACTGAGAATGTTCTCAGTTAAAGTCTAGTGGAAGTGGTTGAACACAAAATCAATTCGCTAATTTCTTCCTTTCTTTCATTGGATATTTTATATAGTCTTTTTGATGGGGAGGTTCATATTATCCATCTGCAGGTGAGAATTGAGAAGAACTTCTTTCACATTGAGGAGAAAAAATATTACATTATATCAAATAATATAAATATTATATGTATATATGTTGTTGTTGTTTTTTTTTATAACATCCAATTTACTGAACTTCACTCACACCAGAGTAAGCCTGGTCATTCAAACCAAATTTTAATAATCTAATTCATTATGTTTTCATGTCCACTGTGTGTTTAACAAATTAAATTGTTTGCAGGTGTTCCACATTAGACTGTGTCCTTATCACAGAGCTCAGTCCTCGACCTGCACCAGTGTGATAAGAAGCAGCAGACTTCTTAAGGACTTCAGGAAACATCTTCTCTGGACCACATACAATACAATAATCTAATATCCCTCACTGAGTGCAACCCATAATGGATCCTCTGCTATCTCTGGAGGAAGGTCCACCCTTTTCCTGTTCTGTAGACTGAACAAACACAAATGTTTAAGACAACTCCAAGAGGAAACAGATCTCACACATTTTCCAAATAGTCTTTGTAACATGTCCAAGTGACCATGTGTAGATCTAATGAATTATTCAGACAATATGATCTGATGTCGATTAGAAATCCTTAACACAGTTGATAGTGAAATGTATTAAAGCTTTTAATTAGCAACTGCGCCATCTGCAGCCACACTTGGTGATTCATTCTGTTGGTCTCTTAGGGTTAGGTGGTTTTCATACAGAGAAAAAACAAACCCCTCAATCTTATCAATCTGATCGCTGAACTGAACTATAACCGAACAGAGGACATTCCTCATGATCCCCAGACTCCTGAACCAGAGGAGCTGCCACTCTAATAAATAATATACTTATATCCTGGACATGAACTCTGCCATCTTATGCATTTAGAGTTTAGAGCCGGAATCTATGCAATAGTGCTCTGAGGGATGGAGTCAATGCTGTTTCAGCTGTCAACCATAAAGTTTCATACTGTTTACACATTAAATCACCAATTAAAAGCAAACTTACTGTAAAAATGAGCCTAAACATCAATGTGAACGACCTAAATTTAAGAGAAACCACCTTTGAGAAAATGTTAATATGCAATTTTTAGTTTGGTCCATGTCTGTTCACATTGAGGTGATCTCTATGAACAGATTGTGCACATGATGGTGGATACTATGAAGGAAAGGGGCCTGATTTTGTTGCCTGGAGTCTCCTGTTTTGTGTGTCTAGTTTGAGCAATCACATTGGAGCAGGCTTTGGTTGCCAGAAGGTAAACAGTCCGTGTGCAGAGCAAAAGAGGCAGAACACATAGACCAAAATGCATCGGCTCTCTGCTTTTCAATCTGTCTGCAGACAGCTGTCAATAGAATAAATAAGAAACTAGTCAGATTGTTAACGCTGTACGGAGAATGGAAGATGGCATCTTGGAGTCTTGCCCCAGGGGCTAATTATTGTGAAATAGAACATTACAATCATGAGATAATGAGTCATGTTATGAGATAGATTAGTCAGAATTTTGAGTGGATAACATCTCTTATTACAATGTTGACTTACAGGAAGTTTTCTTTACAAGGTCACAGAAACAGGCTTCCATACACTTGGGCCTGATCCTGCAACCATCAGTCAGTTACTGAACAAAGTTGAGCAAGGACGGGTTTCTAAGGAGGAATCAAACCTTCATCATTCTCCCTCCTATAAGTCAGAGAAGCTGCTGCTTAAACATAAAAAAAGTGACATAGTGTTGCTTTAAACGCTTCTCATGTTTCTTCTCTGATCAGAACAGCTCTTTGATTTCAGCATAAACCTAAACACGACTTTAGGACACGAGTCTGCAGCGCACTGTGCGTGAGTGACAGCGGCCGCCCACTCACACTCTGAATCTTAATTGTGTAACGTCCATTGACGACTCGGCACAATGCTGCTGCTGCCGCCGCTGAGAGCGCGGAGGAGGCGCACCGAGCTGAGCACTGCGATCAGATGCTCCCATCGAGGAGGACACAGATGGACAGCCTCGTTCAGCCGCTCGTCGCCCAGTACCTCGCCATGGGATGTCAGTCGAAAGAGAACCACCAAGACGAAAGTGTGTGTCCGGACGAGAAGGGGAAGGACGATGCGTAAGTTGGATGTTTTTTTCCCTCTTTACTGAGGGGGATACAGGTGCGGCGACAATGTGCGCAGCCTACATATTCACCAGTGATAGGATATTTCCAGCATGTCACAGCGGGTTTTCATGACTGTATCTAATTGTAGTGTTAAGAAACAGCTCTGTCTCCAGGTGCCATTCATGTATTTTACGCACAAAAGCGGCACAGGTCCAAAGCCTCCTCAATCTCACTTGGTGCAACTTTCGGACCTGTTGCACTTAAGTGCTTCACGCAAATTCCTTCTTGTTTACTGCTCACTTCATGATTTTGACTGGATGTCCGCGATCAACCGGTATTTCCCCCCCATTTAAAGGAAGGAAATGAGAACAATGAATGGCAACATTCCTTGTGGGTGGTGGAGGAGGTGTTTTTTAATTCACACAATAGCTCTAATAGTTGTTTTTTTTGCTACACTTCATATATGTAAAAATCTGTGGTCTCATCATAGCGTGGTTTGAAGGACACTATATATGTTCATAGGCAAACAAAGTCACACACTTTTCAGCCTACATCAAACCCTCCTCTCTCTCCTCCCTTCTTCTTGCGTTTGCTCTTTCTCAAGTAGAGCGACTCCAAGATGCAGCTCCAGGGCTAGAGTTTCTCCACCTGGACGTCCTCACAGGTTCCACAGACCCAGCCCGGCCCAGGCGGCCCCGTCCAAGTCCATGATGCCCCTGGGTCCCCTCACCAAGGGGGCGAGCTGGGAGGGCATCATCCAGGCCTGCCTGCAGTCCTTTGGTAAGTTCAAGCTGAGCTGCCTTGGCACTTTAGTGTACAGCTGCTGTGGATTACACAGCAGGTGTAGATGTGTTTATACTGTTGAGTATATTGTTATCATGCAACTCTATGGATGTCTTTTTTGAAGAAGAAGAAAGACACATTGTTCTGCAGTGCTCGTCTCTGCGAAGCCTTGATATTAAAAACCACACTTTATGTGTGATCACATACTGTTTGTAGTTTCTATGAAGCTTCTATTTTTCTGGCATTTTGGCACAAATCTCCAACAAGTTTGGGCAGTACCCATCAACAAGAGGAGGGTGGTGTTTTGCATTTGAATGGAATCTCTGAATACGGCCAAGTTTGTTAATGTTTACTTTTGTATTTTGAAGAAGAAATAACTCCCAGTGAAGCTTGTCTGATATTGTGAAAATGTTCTCCTTGGTGAAACGTTTCTGCAACTATTAGACAGCCATGTATTTGACAATCGTTGTATTATTAGTTGTATTGAACTGGATGCAGGATTAATAGAGGGTTTTTTATAAGGGAAAAAAAGCACAGCACTGATTGAGTAGGCTGTAGTTTGGATCAATCAAGCGATGATCATTGGCCTCGTCAAGTTGTCTGGAGGGCTCTCAGAGTTATGGTGATTGCATTTCTAAAGAGACAGACCTTCAAATTGCTGTTGCCTGGTTACTGGAGCGGGAGCATTGTAGAGGTGTTACAATGGGCTGCACATAAAATGACATCCCATAACTACATTTATCTGTAGAGAGGCAGAAATGAGAAGTAATAACAGCATGTCGCTCATTTCTGATTCACATAGGAAACAGGAGGATATCAGAGTTAAGGAACGCCATCGTACAATATCAAAAGATAATTTCACTGTCAGGATGCAAAATACTGGATTCATCCGCACATGCTCCAGATACGATCGGTCAGAAAAAGTGTGTCATGACTAGGGTTTTCCTTGAATGGCCTCTCCTGATAAAACAGAGCTCAGCCATGATACTCCTGGCCAACATCACAGGCGAACCCCTGAGGACAGGGGCTCCTGCCACCTTTTCAAATGTGAGCGTACACGTAAGAGCTATTTGAAGGATAACCCAATGGCTGCTTCAAGCCGGCTGAGCCGAAAGGTCAGCTCCCTGAGCAGTGGTCCTCAGATGCTGGCCCAGCCTTTGAAATGCAGAGGTGTGGATCAATATCTATTGACATCATCACTCTCTCTCTCTCTCACACACTGCACTGCGCTGTGCTTCCCACTCTGATCATTCTCAACCTAACTCATGTATACTTTGTACAAGTTGCATATTTATTTAACATTTTTATTAATTATTCATGAAATTTATAAGACGTAAAAGTGTGGATCCAGGTATTTTTGGTCAGATGTACAGACTGAAATGTTCCAAATGTGTTTATTATAATTGTATTTATACTGAATTTTATTTCTCTACTAATATTATCAATGTAGAAATAATTGTGGATGCTATTTTTGCTGATCAGTCAAAGTTTGATTTCTTATTACTACCTGGAAAGGCAGAGAAAAGATGTTTCAACTACTCATGACGTGGTTCCCTTTTCAAACCATCGCATTAACTATAGTTAAACGGTTTTCCATGACTTATAGTGGTTTTCCTCTTTTTATAGTTTATTTGCTACCTTTAGCTATGTCGTTTTTAAGAAGTTTCATTAATACATTGTATCTTATATGTATTATTCCATTATTACCTCAACCAAGGAGATTATGTTTTCACCACTGTCAGTTTGTTTGTTAGTTAGGGGGATTACGCAAAAACTACAGGATCATATTACTTGGTTGTAGGAGGGGGTCTCTAGGAAGGAGGGGGAGTCAGAATGAACTTTGATGTGGTTAAGAATCAGGGGGCGGATCCAGGAAATGTAGAGTGTTATTCAAAATTCATGATTTCTCAGAGAATAAATCATAGATCTTAATGAAAACAGATCGTAAGGAAACTGCTATTTGATTGTTTGCAACTAGGTACAGACCCAAATAAAAATCTGGATCTAATGAAAAGTATTTATCCATAAATCTTTAATCCATTTATTTTAATCTTTTTTTACCATTGACCAATAATATATAAAGCTATATTTAACAGTTTCAACTTTATAGATCCTATAATTTTATCATAACAGTTGAACTATTCCACACTGAGAAAAAATAGCCCTAGTTGAGAATCACTGCTCTAAAGCATGCGTTCAAACAAACAGTGTTATCCATGAAGCTACACTGGGTCTTGATTTATCATGGAGAATTTTGCACAGCACACAGAAAGATAATCATCATCCTCCATCTGACTCTAAATCCTCTGAAACAAAGGGACCATCCAGACGGATAGCCTCTGTCAAAACAAGGAAATATTCACAAGCCACACGAAAACGTGCATGTAGCTGATGAGCGTCTGAGATAACCTCAGAAGTAGGCTGGGCGCCACATGCTCTCAGCGGTGTTTGTTTCCATACAGTATCGCACAGTTCCAGTGTAGCGGGCAGCTGTAGCTTTCCTAATTTTCCAAAGACTCGGTCCGGAGGGGATTTCCTCCTGCAATTAACCCTGGGAGGGTTAGTGGTTGGAAAGTTGTGAAAAAAGGATGGAGCAATTGTTTATGTGACAGGGAGTCATGACTTCCTGTTTGCCTTCACCGCAGTTCTGACTCTGGCTGCTTCACACTTAAAACACGAGTACTTTGAAGTAAACCAGGCAGGTGTGTTTTTCTTTATATGCACATGTTCTAACTACATCTAAGCTTTACTACTTTACAAGCCATGCGTTATTGAATACTAGTGAACGTTTCATTTCTCTTTTACTCTTCCATTGTCTCGACTGGTGAGGTTACTGGGTTGAACCGCTACGGCTGTGTCTTGCAAACAGAAACACACCCCATGCAGGATATGAGGGCTGGATTAGTCAGCTGCGGCTGGAGTTGTGACTTGCTCACAGATAACAAAGATTAGAAAACATGTTGCCATGGCATCTTAGGTATTTCCAAGGTGATGTGGTTTAAAAGTGGGTCCTCAGACACCTGATGTCCTTGATGGTGTCAAGATACTGTGAAAGCTTAAAGTGATACTCAGCTTGACAGGCAGCATGAGGTAGATGTAAAAAGCTTTCAATGTATTGTTATGTTACACTGTCAGAATTATGTTTTTAAAGCAACATTCAAATGGTCTTCTTTATATATCAGCCACCATTTTACTGCTTGTCAGTGGCTGTAGGTTTCATAGAAGATAAACAAGTGTTGCTCTGGAAAATGTTATGGAATATTTCTATGCCTCTGTGCTAGAGAGCAGTGACAGTCGGCGTTGTGTTTTTCGGTTTGTTCATCCGTCTTATTCTCATAACCACAATATCTCAGGGGATTTCTGAGACAAACTTTCACTTGGTCACAAATCCTTTTTGTGCTCAACAATCAACGTCACTGGGACCTCTCAAATATGTTTTTGGCTGTGTGACAGTGATATCTAAGGAACGTAGCCTTGAGGCAATTCCTTCAAATGTTTTCACAAATGTTCACTCAGACTGAAACCTGTATTGGTCTGATTTTGGTGGTCACAGGTCAACATCGCTGCGACATCACATTCCTGTAATCATGACGCAGTAGAAAGTCTCGATGGAATTTATTCAACTTTCACCTACGCTCGGGGATGATTTGATAAGATTTTGGTGGTTAAAGGTCCAAAATCAATACAACGTGACCTCAACGTGGCCTCATTAATGAACTGGAACAGACATTCACTTGGACTCAAACAAATATTGATCATATATTGGTGGTTAAAGGTCAAAGAGCAAGGTCACTCTGACATTACAAAACGAGTGTTTGCCGAGAACCAATTCTTTAATTATTAAACATTTTTCAGAAAAATATCTTCACTGGTTGATGTAGCAATGAGATGTATATTGAAAATGTCAAAGATCCACTATTCGGCAGACATCATAATGTACAACACTTCATTAATCAACAGAGAGGGAGATTGTGACTGTCTTTTCAACAAGTGGTTGGAAATAAAATCTCCCTCTCTTAAAAAGATAGTAAAGGAAACAAGCCACAGAGGTTCACACGATCAGAGGATAAGAGCATAATCTTCATAAACAGGCTCCGTCAGTCATCTGTCAGTGATTCACCTGGTTAATCTAAGTCTGTGTCATTAAATATGATACACTTTTCTTAGATAACACTGGAGATTTACAATTAAATCAAATTCATCTTAATAAAATATTTGATCAAATCAAATTTGTAATGAAATTTCAAAATCTTTAAGAGTCACTGAAACACTATATTCAGGGATATCAATTTGCTGTCCATCATATCCATATAGAAAACAGTCATTAATATTTCAGACTGAGAGTGAGAGGAGCATTTATTTTACACAATCATCTCATGAATTGTTTCACTGTCAAATATTGTAAAAAAATTTCAATGAATCATTTTGAAAAGTTACAATGTTAATATTATTTTTCATAATTGTTTTGAGAGGCTAAAAGTGGTCAACATGACAAATGACTAATAGACTATCAAAGTTGTTGAGAATAGATTTTTAATCAGCTGATCTATTAATCATAGCTAATATTCAGTAACTATTTCCAGTCAAATTTGTATAATGATATTGTTTTCAACTCTATTATTAAAATAAGTTAAATATTTAAATGATTAGAAACAAACCAAAATATATGAACTGTACATTTATTGTAAACATTCAGCGTGTTTCTCCATGATGCTCCCATATTTTGCTGGAATAGCATGTCCACTAAACAAGTCACACACATCCATTTAGCCTCACAGATTGCAGGCAGGCTAAATGGCTAAAGCACTAATGTGATGTGTCATACGCAAGATGTGATTCTGAGTTGATGTATTCAGGGGAAACTACATGTCTCTGACAAGTTTTATTTAGAGGAGATGTCATGCGGTCCTGTAATGCTGTTCCACTCTGCTGCAAAGACTCAAGTGTCTGCATCTCTGTCTTGCAGATTCAAACGGTTGCGTATGCGGGAGCAGCCACTTGCTCAACATCACCCTGACCATGCACCGTCTCCTCATCTCCTCCAGTGATCTGCTGGACAATCTCATTACTCTATATCCTTCAACAGCCCATGGTGACGCTCAAACCGCTGATGATGATTCCAACAGTGCACTGGCCAATTTGGAGCACCAACTGTAACATGGGGTCAGAACACTGGCTCCCTGTGTGCCGCTTTTGTTTCGTTGTCAACAGCAACAGGCAATCAGGCTTGTACTTGGCTCGCAGCGCAGCCAGTAGCTGTCAGCGCAAACTCTGATAGGAAAGTGGCAGTTTTTGTTTACTCCTGGTGGTAGTCGCCATGTAGACCTTTCACTTCTGTTATTTAACCATTTTTATCTGCACTGTAAAATGTCCTTCCCTCTGAGCACTGTTTCCCATGCTTGTAATAACAGCCCAGGAAACAGAGTCTCTGTTCGATTCTATCCCTTTCATATATTCCACTTCACACAAGAAAAAAAAAAAATCATACTTCTATTCAGCAAAAAGCAGTGGCGTCATGAAGCCTCTCAGAAGAGCTTGCGGGCCCGGCGAGCAGCCTTGGGGTTTCAGGTGTTAATTACCTCTGCCTCGTTCACATACGAGTCCTCTTCAGCTATAAAGAGACCCCTGGCTCGCATGAACCCACGTCACCATGCACAACTCCGAATGGCCCCCTCTGCTATTTTTAACCCTCTCATTCTGAGCCCAGGACCCAAAAGGATACATCAAATAAATGCAGTGTGCGGGTTAGGACCAGGGAAGAGACACGGGGCCATTAACAGCCTTCATCGCCGTCTGGCCTTGGGATTGCGTGGGCAGATCTTCTGCTCCCATGACGCAATTAGCCTTTTTATCTGTATCACTTCAAGCTGATTCCTGCCATTCAAGAGCCGTGCTGTTAGTCTCTTTATAAAAGCTGCTGCGTATAAAAAGAAAATACTTTTGTGTGTACTGTATATAAATTCACAGGATTGTGTTGTTTTCGGTCAACAAATGCAGTACGTAGGGAAGAGCAGCCGCAGCAATGAATCACGATCTAACGGATGACGACATTGATTAAAAACATCTTTTGAGTCCTGCCACAGAACAATGCATATTAATCAACTGTTGTTCTTCTCAATATGAAACACTGATTGTGTATTTTCTCTTTTACATTCTGTTCTTAGTTTTCCTCTGCATGCCAGCATGATTCATTCAGTGATGCTCATCAGGTTTCTGCATCATGCAGTTGCCTCCTCCCACATTTCCAAATGTCACTTGTTTGCCTTTTAGTTGAGTTTCTATAGTTTTCACTCAGTCGTTTGTGGGAAGGAACCATATGTTCATTTTTCACTTCTGAGATCAGCACATTCATTAGTGAGATATTTTCACATGAAACAAAAGTGTGGCTGAACCTGAACCACTTTCAGACAATGAAACAACAACTCGGGATGATCTGTTTATATTATTCCTTTACCAAAGACCTTACATTCAAAACAGCGCTGGACAATGAGCAGCCAACAGAGTGTCAGAGGATATGCTACCTCATCAGGTCAGTCTAATACACAGAAGGACAGACTCTGACAATGTGTGTGTGTTTATTATTCACACTGTATCGTCTCTGACCTCCAGACACTGGATCCAGGAGTTCTGGATGATGTTCCGCTTGCACCACAGCTTGTCAGACAGCCTTGACCAGTTCAGGGAGCTGATCAGAGAGCAGGGACAGGAGCATCTCTGCTCTCTGCTAGAGACCAAATGGATGTAAGTGTTAATATCTGACCAGCTGGCGACTGAGACACAAGGTCTTCATGACTCTCATTTGTTTGTTCAGACGTGGAAAGTCTTGAAATCAGTCACGATCAGGAAAACAGAAAAACCTCTAGGCTGTTGAAGTAGTTTGAAAGTAGATCTGTTTTTGTCACTTTGTTTGACATCACACACAGTACGTTGTATACCATCTTTGATTTTCCTTTTCCAATTGATGCTATACGTCACATTCGACAACACTGGCTGCTGCCAAGTACTGGTTTCATTGTACACTGGGCATTATTTTCTCTTTTCAGAAACTGTGATCTATATAATGTCAGAAAACTATAAAGCATGTGTTGCAATTTCTCTGGCACTATTTTTTAGATGTCTTTTAAATTACTTTTTCAAGAACCCAAAACCCAAAGATATATAGTTTCTATCCTTGAAGGACTTCTATCCGTGAAACAGCAAAAATTCCCATTTGAGAATATTTTTATGGTATTTTGCTATAAAAAGGTTTGTACCGAACTTATCTAGCTTTATTTCAAAATTGTCAACTATTAATTGACTAACCTCAAATTGAAAATCTGGTTTTTGGCAGCATCGTTACATGAAATACAAAATGCAAAGAAACCTTGTATATAATTTTCTGCCTCATTTACATACTGCATTCTGATATCTTATTTTATTAACTAAATAAATAAAATTGTTGTAGATTTGTTAATGATTGACTTAGTCATATGGCTTGGTGACAAAACAATTTCAAAAATTATCACAATATAATTAAATAACTAAAGTCTGTAATTTGATTTTCTCTGGCCATAAGAAAGAGTTTAAAACCACACAAAAATGTCTTTCAAGTAATAGTTTATCTTAATATAATTTCTGGCGAATTTTCCGAGCCCTAGAACTGAGCATTGCAGCCTTTGCTGATGGTAGATGTGGTCATGTTATTCTTGCATGGTGTGTTGTAGAAATGAGCGGGACTGGTCGTGGAAGGCCAGCCAGAAGATTAAAGCTAACAGCAGTAAAAAGAGGAAGGTTTCTCTTCTTTTCGATCACCTGGAGCCCATCGAGTTGGCCGAGCACCTCACCTTCTTGGAGTTTAAATCTTTTTGCAGGATATCAGTAAGTATATATGCCCATGACAATTCTAACATGTGAAAAAACACTGCATTTCCTCCTCAGTGGAAATGTCTCGTAGTTTCCGTGCAGCAGTTAACGCTCCTGTCTCTGATCTCTCCGTCAGTTTGTAGACTATCAGAATTACATTCGCAGCTGCTGCATGAAGGACATCCCAGTGATGGAGCGTTCCATTGCACTGTGTAATGGTATCTCCCAGTGGGTTCAGTTGATGGTGCTGAGCCGACCGACCGCTCAGTTGAGAGCTGAGGTTTTCACCAAGTTTATCCACGTTGCACAGGTAGTGGTTAAATCAGCCCCTCACTATTTCTGCACTCACAATTTCTGTTCCTCACTTAGCAGGAAAAAAAAGAGAACCACATTTGACACTTTTCTCTTTTTGCTTTGATGTACATGCTACAGTTCACACACATTATCAAACTAATGACTGCCTGTCACACTGTAGACACTTTACACTATAGCTGCTACATAACTGGTAGTAGGATAATGTGTATTCACAGAGATGAGGTAATGAATCTCAAGAGCTGTGCTGCAGCCTTTTAGCATATCCAAAGATTTTACCAATAGAAAAGTATTAACTGAATGCAAGCTAATGGAGTTGTCAAGCAGAGTGCACTCGCACGTTGAGTTAGTGGAAGTGGAAAAGAGACACTCGTGACAGTAGCTGCCGATCAGACCTTGTCTGCTAAAACCACTTCAATATGAAGCTGCATGCGACCTGCTGAGAAGGTGATGTGCTGGCGTAAAGGAGCTGTTAGGCAGGCTTTTACCCTGGAGAGGCCTCTTGCAATGTAACACTAATGCACCAGACTGCTGCTGCTGCTGCTGTCAACCTCAAATCCCACTGGTGTGGGAACGAATTTCACACCATAATGCTCTAGCAACAGCACAAATTAGAGAACTGAAAAGAGAGGGAAAGGCACTTTCAAAAAGAGAGTGAGATATCAGAGCGCAGTAAGAAAAGCCAACAATGTAAGTGGCTTATGTAATGGCAGTGTTGTGAATTATATAACCAGGGATACCTGGAACAAGTTTAATTGTGCGTGCTTATGTGTGTGCGCGTGGATGGACTGATATGTGTGTGTTTTTATGTGTGTCCGCCAGAGTCTACATCTTATGCACAACTACAACACACTAATGGCAGTGGTGGGGGGCCTTTGTCACAGCTCCATCTCCAGACTGAAAGACACCACCTCACATGTACCTAGTGAGGTCACTAAGGTAAAGGACAACTAAACACCTACGAGGAGGATTTAAAAGCCGAGGATTCTCATATTATTCTTTTAAAACACATCCTGTTTAATCCGTAGGTGCTGAACGAGATGACAGACCTGCTGTCCTCATGCAGAAACTATGACAACTATAGACAAGCTTACAGCAGGTGTACAGGTTTTAAAATCCCGATCCTGGGCGTCCACCTCAAAGACCTTATCTCCGTCAATGAGGCCATGTCGGACTATGTGGAGGACAACAAGGTCAACGTCCAGAAGCTCCAGGCCCTCTACAGCCACATCAATGAGCTGATCCAGCTCCAGCAGATCCCACCAAGGCTGGACGCCAACAAAGACCTGGTCCATCTGCTGACGGTTGTTCACTTTTTTGTTTGTTTTTTTAAAACAAGAAGCTTTGTGTGAATCACTTCATTGCATTGAACACAGGCACAGATGCAAATGAGTGTGTTACAGCATGTGGATCGTCTGCACTCATGTGGGTGTGATGAGAGACTAGTATCCATGAGTGTGTGGGTGGCAAACCGAGTGAGTTGAGATTGCTGTATTGTTGTGTTATCTGTGCGCTTTTAATCGTACTTGAATGACAGAATGCCCATGAAGAGATAATAGTTAGCCTGTGACCCAATTGGCCTTCATCAAAAACATGTTTCAAGGACAAATGTGGAGACACAAAGAGCTCTTTCTCTTTTCTGTTTACAAGCCATGTGCTGACGTGTGTTCACTCTTTCCCCACAGCTGTCTTTGGACCTTTACTACACAGAGGACGAGATCTATGAACTGTCTTATGCCAGGGAACCCAAGAACTGTAAAGCACCTGTGAGTGATGAAGCAGCTGGTTAAAAGCTGTCTCTGACATTTTGGGAAACATGTTTGTTTTCTTTGTTATCAACCTGTCTATACAGTAAAAGTTAAGATACAGCATTTGATAAATATTGGCTTAGCTTAAAGACTTTTGGGAAAACAGCTAGCCTGTCACTTGCCAGCTACCCAGCTATTTAACTACCTACAGGGCAGAAGGATAAAAGCAAAAGATGAAAAAGACTTTATGGAATTATTAGCTTTTTAAACGCTAATTTTATTTGGCCCTTCATTAACTGAGTTGCTTCTGCTACTGAATATCACTCTCTGCATAGATTTAGTCTCATAGAATTGTCCATATAATTTGTATACATATTTGTAACATATGTAATATTGATTTTTAACAACATAATAATTTTCTACCAGCCAGCCACCCCCTCAAGACCTCCTGTGGTTGTGGAGTGGGGATCAGGAGTGGCTCCCAAACCTGACCCCCGAACCATCAGCAAACATGTACAGAGAATGGTGGACGTGAGTGCTTCCGATTTAAAGTGTGGCCTCCGCAAAGCTGCTGAGTAAAACTGTTATATAACAATAATATTTATTTTAACTATTCTTCTGCATGTCGCCACGATGACAGCCAGCTCTTGTGACTATTGTTCACAATCAGGCGAGCACCAAAGTTTTTTTTTCCTCTTGTCTTTCGCAGTCTGTGTTCAAGAACTATGATCACGACGAGAATGGTTTCATTTCTCAAGAGGAGTTTGAGAAAATTGCTGCTAGCTTTCCATTTTCCTTCTGTGTCATGGACAAAGAAAAGTGAGTGTATGGCAGGGGACACACACACACACACACACACACACACACACACACACACNACACACACACACACACACACACACACACACACACACACACCTCATTTGTGTCTGCAGAGGAGAGGAAGCCAGTGGTATTTATTCTGATGAGCAAAGCAACAGGAAACATAAAATAGCTGCAGAACTAACCATAACCCCCACCACTAAATTCTTTCTCATGCACGCCCTGTGCAGCATGTGATCCTGGACACAAAAACCATTACAATTAATGTTCCCATGATTTCACATGACACAGTGACAAAACAATTCTATGTTTAGCACATAGGGCAGATGAGTGGGTGCAGTCATAAATAAATCAGGTCTGACATAACCAAACATTTCAGGTATGACGTTAACATCTGAAAATGTCTATTTAAATTTAAAACTGTTTCCAGTCGTTTCCTCTCTTACATTATCCTCTGTGTGTGTTGGGGTTGTCTAGGGAAGGCCTCATCAGCAGAGAGGAGATCACAGCCTATTTCATGCGGGCCAGCGTCATCTGCTCCAAACTGGGACTTGGGTTTGTCCACAACTTCCAGGAGACCACTTACATGAAGCCCACCTTCTGCGACAACTGCTCAGGATTTGTAAGTCAGCAGACAAAATCATGAATTAAGGTCTTTGAGACACAAACACTGTTGTTGTACTACATCACCGTCAATACAAATACCCATACAATATTGGGTTTAATCTTTTTATATTCCATTGTTTTGAGTTTTTTTCTCCATATTCTCCCTCACAGTTGTGGGGTGTCATCAAGCAAGGCTACAAATGCAAAGGTAATTGTTGCACTCTACACTCTAGTATGTTGTGCAATTTCAGAGCGTAATCTTTTGGCCAAATGTCAGTATCATGCTTAATTTTCAAGCCCAGGAGTGGAACAATGAAGTGCAGGTAAAGGGAAGCTATCTTAGGAAGGTGCACTGTGGTTTTCTATGTTGCATATAGCACACTGAACTGTGCAACACATCAAAAAAAATCAAGTTTGCAGTCAGAACCACATTTTTCCCTCCTCCCCCAACCTTCAAAACAGGCGAGAACTATTTGTGTGCTTGACAGTGAGCATGCAAAGGTCTGAGAGTTGCATTTGCAGAACCGATAGTTTTCAAACAGAAGTCAGTTTGTCAAAGCTCGACTGTCGCTGGTTCCTGTTCTGACATGTTGTAAATTTTTCCGCTCTGCACAGACTGCGGAATGAACTGCCACAAGCTATGCAAGGACCAGGTAGCGTTTGAGTGCAAGAAGAACACCAAAGCAGCCAACGCCATTGACAGTCCATCACCGAGCTCAACGTCCATCACAGGCACCTCAGAGGGTGGGTAGAGGTAGAGGTTCATTCAGAGCATATAGAGTCCCATTGATACACACATTCTATTATTAATCACATGGAAATAATCACTTAATATGTATGACATGTGCCATCTGGTGGCTGTGAACTGACAAACATACTGTATTGGGATTATTCTAGAAATCATGCAGCCACTGCAGCAAATCACCAAAAGTCATAATTTACGTCATTTCACACAAGCTTGCAGCAGCTGAAACTAAACAACTCTGGAGTGCAGGGTCTACAGTCTGGGGGATTTCCCTCCAGTCGTCATTTACAGTAATACTGAAACACCCACCTGCTGCAAGAAAGTTGCTGTAGTCAGAGCAAAGGTACTTTCTGTTTTACTTAAAGGGGATTGGCACACAGACTATATCATCAAAGACCCCACTATAAATTATAGAGGGTTCGTTATTATTAACAAGAAGAAGGAAAAGAGAGATAAAACAGTAAAATTGATTCAAACAAATGCAAATCAAACATTCTTAAAAGATTTCAAAAAGCGAAGGTTTTTAGGAAAGATTTAAAAGAACCTAGAGAGAAAGTGTGTCTTGGGTTTGGGGGACAGAGACATTAAGCGTGGGTGATCTTTGTCACAAACCCCGGCCTGGGAGTGACCACCAGGGCTCCAACTGCAGATCTGTGATATTTGGCTTGTGTTTCATAATCTACATAAGCACAAAGTATTAATGTCCTAAACGAAAATTGGAACATTTATATTTGTCTCATTTGGAATAATTACTTCCTGTCACTCTTCAGGTTCAGAAGACTGTCCCTTCCCCTATCCACCTGATGACAGCAAAGACTGGAGTCCGGACTCCCCAGTCACCTCCACTCTGAGGCCCCAGAGGGTTCACAGTGGCACCCAGACAGACGGACTCCAGATTTTTGCTGCATGCCCTGAAGCCAGTCGCCCTCAGCCTGTGCTGTTACTACCAGCAGCACCCCCCCTCACCTCGTGTCCCAGCCCGGTGCCCCAGAGGAAACACTGTGCCAAGTGGGAAAACAGAGCTTCTGTCATGCAAAAGCCTAAAGAACAAGAGGAGGAGAGCAAACCTACATATGAATCTCTAGACTCAGTGCGTGTCAAAACCCCAGTTTCCATTTTTCTACTACTTAAAGGCACCTCAACTGTATCAAACAAATCTTCTGTGTCTTTCCCAGGACAACCAGAGGCTGCAGGAAGCCAACGAGACACTACGGAGGAAGCTGAAGGAGACAGAGCGGGAGGTGGAGATCTTAAAGACGCTGCTGAAGAGAAACGCTCTCCACCGAGTGGAGGAAGACTCCTCATCCTAGTCGAGTACATACAGTATACTGAGCCTCCTCCAGGGAGACTGCTGCTGCCCCCTTATGGGAGCATGCATTAAATCTGGATTCAATATTTAGGTGGTCATTAACAGACCAAGTAATTTATCAGAGTAAAGAAACCCAGGCAATCAGGCGGTATACAGTGGGACACAATACAAACAGCCTGTGGAGGAGTTTTAATGCTGAGTCCCTTGTACAGTTTTACAGGAAAATTGCAATTTGCTGAGCCCATAGAGTAGTAACAGTTGGAATTGAGTTTTCTGTGAAAAGTATGTGAACATTGAATGAAGGAGTGCCGTATTTTACAGTGAAAATATAGCTACATGTGTTTGATCAATTCATGATCAATTAATGGCCTTAGACATTTATGTTAAACATAAAAATGAAATCAGGGACCACAGTGAACTGTATGCAGCGATATATCTATCAAAAACAACTTGTGCCATATATGACAGATGTGTTATTATTGTAAGATATGTTCCGATACCTGGATTGCATATCGGCCGATACAGAGTACCAATCTGATGCTTTGGGACCGTCTTTGTCGAATTTATTACGTCATTCGAATGTTATTTCCAAAGATATCTGCTGCTTTTCTTCCTATTTGCCTTGGTTACCTCCTCGTGCTCTTTCTTATGATGGTTCCTTATGAGATTGCTTGAGTTGTAATGAGGACAACCCCCCCACCCCTTGCATACGTACATGTCGGCGTGCAGTGAGAAAAAAATGCCAAATTGCTGACATAGCTAGCTCTGGCTAACGCTACACTACCAGAAATCACTTTTTTCACCTCAATGGCAGTACAGCGCAACTGCTGTTTTAATGTGGTGGAGAAGAAGTGACTTCCAGGAAAAGAAAAGTGCAGTTTTATCTGCATGAAACTAAACTATACTTAAAAGACGTGATATCGGAGAACATACATGTACATACTTTTGCGTACTCCCTGATGACCGACCTGGCGTTTTCGTCTGTATCGGAGCAATTTACGATGCTGTTAGAACATCTAGTAATAATAAACTAATAAGAGCCCATTGATGATAGCAGCAGAATGAAATATCAGCACAGTCAGAACGGCCTCGACAGAAGTGATGTTGCTCTGCAGAAGTTATCGCTGCGTTCATATTTATTGTCTGAAACACTACACAAAGATCCAAGGAGTGATATAAATAAACATTTTGTACAGTGTGCTGGTACTTTCAGTGGATTGTTTATGCTTGTGTGTTGGCATCATATTGATACTTTCTATTTTTATCGTGCAGCCATGTCATTCAATTACCGAGTGGTCCACTGTAGCAGTGTTGTGCTCTGAATGGGAGTGGAGATAGATGTGTTTGTACAATGTATAATGTTCTGTATATATGCACAGTGTCGTCTTAGATATAGGTTCACCCCCCGAGTATTGTTCCCTCATTGTTATAATAAACTGTGTGCGTTCTATATGAAACCAATGGCCTGTGCTGCTCTGCTTGACCACCAGAGGTCACTAAAGCCTCATAATGTTCCTCCAGCTTGTTACTAATGATTGTTGACTTCCAGTTTTCAGATGCCCCAGGGCCTGCACTGTAAATGTTGCACTCCAATTAGCTGTGTGTGAGAGTGTTGCTGTCAAATTAGAGAGCAAAGGGGGATCATAGTCAGACACAACTTTAAATGAGTTTACTGTAAAGTTTAAATAATGTTATTTAAATGAAAAAGGGAGATGCTTCTGTACGTGTCTATAACATGGATGGATGGACTGTGGAGACGTCAACCTTTGAGGACAGGTGGTGTGTCACACCGTTGACTGGAGACCGTGTCAATCTGCCCTGTCCCCTGGGCTCTGCTGCTCGTAATGAGTCCAGCTCTGCAGTTAATGTCAGTCGATAATGAGAAGGCGACTGTCTGCAGCTGGAGAAGCACAAAACCAAACCATGCACTTAATCCTTCAGATTCCTTACATTTCTTTAATCGCCACACTGCTATTCTTGGCGCTGTCAGATATTTGTACAGATTCATTTGACTCAGATGATATCTTCATTTCTTGCAGCCGTGATGACTTGTTGCCGCTACACTGGCTGGTCAGTGAGCAGAGACCCAGTGGAGAAAAAATAGGGATAGTCTCTGATGCGTAACGGCAGCTCCCCAGCCTTGCCTTGGTGACAGCTAATTTACTTCTATTTAAATGTGACACTGCAGCTGCAGGGGAGTAACAGCCAGAGCCTAGCAGGCTCCATGCTCACTATAATGCTGAATAATTTCCAATATCATGGCCGGCTGAGGGAAATTGACAGAGAACACGCGGAGGGACGATGCCCCAGCAAAGGCCGCTTCTCCCCGCACCTCCATCACAGCTGCAGCACAAGCTTGAGAGGAGAAATGTATTTACCCTGACATATTAGAGCAGTCATCCTAAAGATAAATATAATCAGTCTAAAATCCATTTACAAACTCAACGGAGAATGTAAACATAATTAATTGCAGCGCGTTTAAGCCTGAAGGAGATTTCAAGACGTATGTTGGTTAACTCTTCTGCTGCATAACTTAGCAATCCACACACTGAGAGAAAAATATGACACCTCAGAAGTCAGTCTAATTACAGTGGGCAGACAGATGATTTATCACCCCGACATCAGGGCACATGAGGGAATTGGGCATTGTGAGATACCCATATTTAACTGAATGTGCTAAGTCTAATCAACAAACTCCAAAACTAATTAGGAAAGATGCGGAACATCCCATTATGTTCCCCTGAAAGCTGAGTGTAGGACACGCAGAAGAACACAAAAAGAACACAAAATGTTACACAGTGCAAACGTGGAGAGGAGAGGAGCCACTGCCGGCAGGCAAAAGAGACGCCACACTAATTCCCTTGATTATTAAACCAAGTTCATTAAGTTCTAATGGTGGCCAAAGGACCTCAGTGGAGGAGCAGGGGAAAATAAACTGTTAGTGGGAGGGAAAATGAAGAAAAGAGACACTTTGAGAGAATCTTCTGGAGGTGGTTTGATAATTGTGTGAAGCCACAGTGAAATTTTTAATTAACCTTGATAGCAGAGGAGTGTAACAGGAGAAGGGCCATGCAGGAGAAACATCACTGCTCTGCTGTGTCTTTTAATAATCATGTAGCTTTAGAATAAATCCACGTAGCAGCTCCTCTACCACATCCACACAAATGAAAAAGATGGTAACATTCACTCTAACCAGACTTTCCCTGAAGGTTGCCTTTCACACATGAACAACACAGCAGAAGATTCTCTTGTCGAGATGTTTATTTTTGCAAAAATACAAAATATATTTGGATGTATCAGAAGTTCAAAGCAAGATAAAGGCAAGCAGAAGGCCATATGGAAGTGAAGAAATGTTCTGGTCAAATGTTTTACAGAACCTTGAGGATGAGCAGTTGAAGAAGCCATTTTCCTATGTTCAAGTCTAAATAGGAGTATTTGTTACGTCTGAGGAAACCTGAGTTAACCCGTCAGACTACACAATGGCAAAAATAGCTTGAACCGGGTGGGAGACTGGCCATTGTTCTTTGGTGGTATTCCACAGCAAGAGAGTATGAACATTTAATATCAACAAGCTCTCTTTTTGGCACAGGACTGTCCACGTTGTGTGCCCTGGTTCATGAAGTGACATTTGTCTGTCTCAAAACACTCATTACACAGATTCAATACAAGTTTATGGTTTCACACTCTCACATCATTATTTCAGGTTTCCTCATTTACTTTGCACTAAACAGTAGTAAAAAAAAAAAAATCAATCTATTTGGTTTTTCTACACTGCTACATTGTACCTTCATTGTATATCACATGATGGGATCCCTCTACACTAAGGGCCTGGTTACACAAATGCAAATGGGAAGCGATTAACATGGGTCACCACAGTTCACCAAAGTTAAATTCCACACGAAGCCGCACGGTGAACTCCACCACAGGAAGCAAATGTTTGATTCACCCTCTAGCTCGCACAGATCAGATGTGAACCGGAGGGGGAAGGTTTGCCACTGAAACATTTGTGTGTTTGACTGGGCCCTAATGCAAATATTTATCCAAACAAACCATTTCCCTCCATATTTGGGCCTCTCGACCATTTCAAGTTCCTAAAACTCAGATGTCCTTCGAAATGCATATATTGAAAAACTCAGGTTTCTGTGGATCCATGTATACAGGTAAAGCGTTCAGGAAATAATGACGCCACACATTACTGTTGCTGAATTTAGTATCTTCACCACATTACCAGAATCTGCCCACCCTACATTACCTGTACATAAGCTCCCCAACAATGTTTTCTGGTATTTGTTTTCTAAATGAGGTGCGCACATTTGGTTTACACAGTTTTGTCTTCTTTAGTTGCATTAATACATTTTTGTCTTTAATTTACCTTGTCTGCTGCATCACCCCTTCTTCCTGGTTTGGCCAAAAGATGTCACTGAGGGCGGAGCCTGTTTAAATACAGAGGCCCTGCAAATAGACCAGACCAAGAGCTGCATCAAGACAGGGGGGGAGTGGAATTTCTTTTCACCCCCCCTATTGTTTCAAATAGTCTGATCAGCCAGTATATATTTCTCCTCTTCTCTCATTTGTTGGGCCTTTTTGAGTTAACGTTTTGTTTTGTTTGCAACATTACTTTTGACTTAGTTTACTTATTTTTCATTCCTTCGTATGTTTGAAGTTGCCTGGATGAAATAAATCCCATCTTTTTAAAAGTAATCATCTGCTCCTCTGTCCTTCAATTGCTTGGTCCCTGACAGAATAGAGAGGGAAGAGGTCAAGTCTAGACCTCTTACAGAAGATGGATGAGTTTGTGGGATAACAACAAAGAAACATCAGTTTGCATATATCTGGCTCTGAATTCCTCACAATAAAGATGTGCACCCGAGAAGGTGGAAACCCGACCCTAATCCATTGGGACCTGACGAGTCGGGGCGGGTTCGGACCAAAATTTTGAAATTATATTCAAGTTCAGGTTTAATCACTTTGGCTGTGTTATCGACTTGATTTTTCTACTCTGCACGTGTCTGTAATTGGTTCGGGTTGGGTTTGCAACAAGCATTTTCAATATTTTGGCTGCAGATAAATAAACATAACGACACTCACAGGAATATGAGTTTCAAACACTGTTAATTTAGGTTGCTTTGTGCAGGCTGTGTATCAATATAATTTAATAACATATAATGATTCACATCATGAGAGAGGAAACAGGACACAGCTTGCAGTTACATGCTGTTTTGGTAATGTGAGATTTATGTTAATACAGAATTCACCAGTGCAGCTGCCAGAATGATTTACGATTGATGTACATTTCACTCTTATTGCTCCTCAAGGTGAACTTTGGTGCAGCGTAATGTGACAGTGGAATAAACAGAGAAGCAGTTGTAATTGTTGCATGAAATAAGTGCAGCCTAGCAGATAGTTTGGGTGTCTACGTCTTGTTTCATGTTTTATTCAGTAATCATAGTAGCCAAGAAGTTATTCTGCCAAATTGCTGTATGAGGTTCGATGTAAAGTATGAACCTAAGCCAAGAACAGAAGGCTGTGTGGTAGCAGAACACAGACAGATTGCAGAGGAGGATGTATAGATGAAAAAAAAGGAAGAAAAATAAAAGTGGAGGGACATAAGGAGAGAGAGGAGCGGAAGCTGCACTGTTGGAACATCCTTTCGACTCTGAGCAGAACCCTCTGAAACAACACATCCCAAGATCAAGGAAAGTGAAGCAAAGCACTGCTGCAGCAAAGGGACAGATATAGAGCGAGAGGAGGAGGCAGTGGTAGGAGGAGAGTGAGTTTTCCCCTCACTGAGAATTCCTAAAGAAGGTGAGTAACAGAGCAAATGAAGCACACTGTCTATATCTGAACCCTCCAAACTCAACATCTCTTTCTGTTTCCGCGGAGCACTGGGACACAGTTGGACTCCCCCGCCTCCCTGGTGGGAACCTCAGTCTGCTGCTCAGAGTGCAGCAACACAAAAATAGAATGTGCACTGCAGATCACTGAAACCAGAAGTTACCTCAATTGATCCTTAATCAAAGAAGAAAAAGGAAGCCCAAAAGAATCAAGGTAAACGAAAACGAATTCCACTGTTTAGTTTGGCTTTACTTTCTTCTTTACTAGATTTATTTTACACAGCACCTATAAAAACAGGGTTAACAAAGTGCTTTGACAGGTAAAGGAGATGCAGGATGCTCAGGGGCAATCGCACAAATTCACTCACACTGATAAAAACAATAGATAAACAAAAGCAATAAGAAGACAGCATCACGTAAAAGCAGTAAATGCAAATTGGAAAAATAAAAAGAATATGACATTACAGAAAAACAAATAAAAAGAAGGCAGGTCGTTCCAAAGCTGAGGGGCCTTGATTGAAGAAGCATGGTCACCTTTACACTTAAGTCTTATGGAACAGCCATAGGGGCCCCACCTGAGGATCTAAGGTTGTGATTGACAGCTG